TATAAACTATTCCCTCCTCTTTGTTGAGAAGTTTCTGGAGAATATTTTTCTAAAAATATTCTTAAGGATAACTCAACATAACTCCCAGGAGTGTATGAGTATAAACTAGACCTCCCCGCTCCAACTCCTTAAGAGCTTAAACTGTGTAGACTCCAAAATACTTACGAGTATAAACTGTGTTAAACGCCGGACAACGCGTCACAATGAAGATTCAAAGCCGTCAACCGGTGGTCAATTTCATGTTGAAGCAACTAACTCGAGCTAAAAAGCCAGGAAATCAAGAATTGACTTCAAATTCAAAATTCCGACAACGGTCAGACAATAAATGCAGCACCGGAACCCTCTCAAGCATTCGACAAAGCACCGAATAGCCTGGAGGATTGAAGAAATCGAGAATAGAAGTTATTCCAAGAGCCCGTTACACCGATTGAAGGTTGGGACAGTCATATCCAAAGTATTCCAGACTCCTCTAGCAAAACATATCTTTGAAGCGTCGATCCTCACCAAGGAGAATCAAGGCTCTTCCCGATTGCCTCACCAAGAAGAACAACGTGGGGTTAAAATGACCAATTTGCAAATTTCCAAAAAAAAAGAGGGTTAATTTGTAAAATTTCTATCTTTGAAGCGTCGATCCTCACCAAGGAGAATCAAGGCTCTTCCCGATTGCCTCACCAAGGAGAACAACGTGGGGTTAAAAGGACCAATTTGCAAATTTCCAAGAAAAATGGACTAATTTGGCTCACCGGCATAAGAGGGAGGCGCGCCATCGGTCGGCACGGTAGAGGATTGACCCCTCGCCATACGGGACATAGAAACCTGCAAGGTAAATTGAAGGATCAGATCTAGAAAAGGAAAAATCCCATTTTTACCCCAAAAAAGGCAAGTTTGAGGCATCAAATCACACCCTCAACCCTTATATGCGATCCCACGACTCCATACACTAGATCGAACATGAAATAAATCAAGATTGCGGAGGATTTACCTGAAAAAAAGCCCAAAATTCAATAAAGGCGAGACCTTTAAGGAAACTTGGACCACGCGCTCGAGGGGCCTGAAAGAAACTTTTTATTTGGAATTTTTGGGGGATTTCTCAGTCCAAGATCCAAAGGAAAGCTAGATCTAATACAGATCTGAAGTTTGGAGGGAGAAAAGAGGCTTGTGAGAAAAGAAATCAAGAGAAAAGAGGGAGGGGGTGGCCGGCCCTAGAAAGAGAGGAGGAAAAAGAAAAAGAAAAAATAAAAAGAACCTCTTTTATAGCCTTGAACCAGATCTGGCTGAACCAGACCAGACCAGACTGAACCAGACCTAGCCGGATTGGACCAGGTTGAGCCAGATTGAGCCAAACTGAGCCAGAATGAGCCAAATTGAATCAGATTGAACCTGGCTAGACCAGATCAGATCAGAATGAGCCAGAATGGACCAGAATGAGCCAGAATGGACCAGAATGAGCCAGAATGGACCAGAATGAGCCAGAATGGACCAGTTTGAACCAAATCCGAACCAGAATTCAAATTGAAGCAGAATTGAACGTCGAAACAACTTCAAATCGACCGAAGGTTCGATCATTAGTTTATTCTTGCCTCTCCCACATGTTTGGAAGGGTTGGGAGACTTTTTGCACCGAATTACTGCCTTATTTGGCTCATTATTAGGCCGATTCAGCTTATTATCGGACCGGTTCAACTCATTTGGATACGGAAATACTCCAATAAGGTATACGAGTTTAAACTATTCCCTCCTCTTTGTTGAGAAGTTTCTGGAGAATATTTTTCTAAAAATATTCTTAAGGATAACTTAACATAACTCCCAGGAGTGTATGAGTATAAACTAGACCTCCCCGCTCCAACTCCTTAAGAGCTTAAACTGTGTAGACTCCAAAATACTTACGAGTATAAACTGTGTTAAACGCCAGACAACGCGTCACAATAAAGATTCAAAGCCGTCAACCGATGGTCAATTTCATGTTGAAGCAACCAACACGAGTTAAAGATTGAAAAAATCAGGAATCGACTTCAAAGTTCAAATTCCAACAACGGTCAGACAATAAATGCAGCACCGGAACCCCTACAGGCATTCTACAAAGCACTGAATGGCCCGAAGGATTGAAGGAATACAGAACAAAAGTCATTTCCAGGTCCCGTTACACCGACAAAGGGTAGGGGCAATCATATCCAAAGCATTCCAGACTCTTCTATAAAAGAACGAGGCTGAAAAGCTTTGGAGGGGGTATCTGTAGGCGTATAAAACTGCTTATAGGTCCCTTGACACAGCTCGGCGCGATGATTCGACAAATCGACGAACGTTCAAGCAACGAAACGAACTAAAGAGGCTACAAAGCTAACGAACTGCATGTGAACAACGTTAGTGGTTCGGGGAGTCGACGGGTCTTCCAACAAAATGGATTTGAACTCAAACACCGACTGAGTTTACTGCCAAATCCGGAATCAAGTCAACAAATCAACAAAACAACCGAACAACGGACAAAACAACCGGAAACAACGGAAAACGACAAAACCAGCGCACCTGGGGGAACTCGGCCCGAACCGAACCACCCTAAGGTGGCTCGGCCAAGGCCGAGCCACCCTGAGGTGGCCGCCCAGATCTGTGCCAAATGCACAGATCTGGTTGCCTATAAATAGGCGGGGTCATTCATCATTTTAAAGGACTTTTTGGGAAGAACTTTTGGAGAGCCGAAGGACTTTTGGAAGAACTTTTGGAGAGCCGAAACTCTGCCGGATTGAGACCTCATCTTGGAGTTTTTGAAGGCTTGAAGACTTGGACGTCCAGATCTGATTCTTAGCGAGCACCCGCATCGCAAAAGGCAGGAGTTCGAGGGGATCGAGATCTCATATCTACGTTGTTACACTCCGGATCAAAGCTTGGTCTTTGATCCCGAGATTCGAACGATTGTTTCCTTGGTGAAATAATCCCTCCGGCTATTATTTCCTTAGTGAAATAATACCCGTTATACTGCGTAGATCTGTTCGGATCTAGATCGCGCGGTGGTCCACGGTAAACAACCCCGGCGCAGGCAAACAACCCACCAAAGCGAGTGACCGAATAACAGGAGCTCGCGATTTGTTCACAAGGAGAAAAAGTTGTAATTTTTAATTTTCTTTATTTTTGATTTTCATTGTAACCGGATCTAAAAAAAACCGGATCTTCTGTAACCGAAAAACCGTTATTCAAGATAGCAATGACATCAATGAAGAAAGCAACGAATTTTCCAGCGAACATCTGGCTTCTGCCTCCCTGCTTGAAATTTAGGGCTAAACTTGAACCTTTTGATTCAGACGATTTCCTTCTAACCTCCTCGGATAGAATCATGCTAACAACCTCACTCGGCTTCAACTTGTCCTTCCCCGCCAAATTGCTGATTGCCGTCACATAACATGGTTGTGCCTAACTATCCGGCAACTGCGATAGAATCAATAGGGCCTGCACTTCGTCATCGAACGTGATGTCTACGGAGATGAGTTGATCAACAATCGTGTTGAACTCGCTGAGGTGCATTATGAAGGAGCGTCATTCTACCATCTTGAGATTGAAGAGTGTCTTGACGGATGCACATTGTTTGCCGCAGACGTTTACTCGTACATCTTCGTGAGCGCTTCTTCTCCTTTAATATGTTTTGTGCGACTGTCTTGGTGAGGGATAACCGGATTTGCCCTAGAGCCTTCCTATCCAGTATCTTCGAATCTTCGTCCGAATCTTATTTCTTCTTTCCCTTAGCCTTGCCCATCAACGGGTGATACAAGTCCTTCTGGTACAGATAGTCATCCATCTGCGACTTTCAGTAAGCGAAGTCTGAACCGTCAAACTTCTCGATCTTAGATTTGCTTTCCTCTGCCATGTCTCTCTCACAATCCTTCTGAACGAAGCTCTGATACCAGTTATTAGGGATTCAAAATAATCAAATCGAACTCTTGCCCTTGCAGACCTTGTGTTTAAGAGTAGGAAAGTAGGAAAAAATCACAGCAAATAAAATATAAAAAACTTGCAGGAAAGTAAATAAGAAAGAACACACCGGATTTAACGAGGTTCGGCAATCGTGCCTACGTCCACGGGAGTCACACCACGCAATTCTTTGATTAATATTGAAGAAGATTACAATGCCCACAAATAGGATCTAATCTCTCTGAGATCTCTTTGAAGAATTCTCTCAAAACCCTCTTTTTCTGATGTTTAATCTCTTCTAAGGCGTTCCATATATATAGAAAACCTAAAACCAAAACAGACTAGGAATTCTAAAACCAAAAAACAAAACAGTACCTTCCCTTCTTACATATCCCCTCTATCCAAAGAAGTCAGTGCTTCGATCGTCAAGTATAGAATTTGGGATCCTCAATGTGTATCCGGAATCAGAAATCGAATGGATATCCCCAACGAGGAGCGGTGACAGGAGGGGTGAGCAATGGTCTATATAGATGACAAGTCAGGGGTAATTTAGGATTAGTTGAGAATTATGGTTGGGACAAGTGGGGTTTCAGTAAGAAATTAAAAGCCTAGGGAGGCATCGGCATTAGACTTTTTTTTCCAAAGGGGAGAAAGCGTGAATTCTAATATCTCTCTTATATCTATATTTGTTTAAAGTCTCAAAATTTGAATCTGAATTTGAATGTTCTTTTGAATCCAATTTCGAAAGGAGTATTTATCAAATATTAAAATATATTTATTGGATTGATATCTATCTTCTGTGAACTGTAAAATATTCAACTAATAAGATATTTTGATTTGGTTAAAAAGAATTTTATTTTTAACTAACATTTAAATTCGTAATTAAAATTGGTTCCCTTATTATAGTGTATAAATCTATACTTTGAATATTTTTTTATTAAAAATATTTAAGTCTCTTACATCTCTCAAAATCAGCAGAATCTAAACTAAAAAAAATGTACCCTGCATTTAAAGATATAGCATCATTTCTAATAAAACAAAAGTTAAAGGAGATAAAATAGCACACCTCTCTAGAGGAAAGCCCACACGTTATTGTCACAAGACACCAGGCCCAATCGCCTCCAATCACATTCCAAGCCCATACGACCTATTACGCTCCGGATATTTTTCGTCACCTCTCTCGGCTCTCCATCAGATACTGAGCCGAGCTTCTCCAGCGAAGGAAAGGGTTTATCTAAAACCCTCCTGTGTTCCTCTCACCCGCAGCCCACCGAGAATAGGTTCTTCCTTTAATCCTTCAATTTTCTTCTTTCTTTATTTGATTTCTCTTCTTTCATACGTACAGGTCAGTAGCGTTCGTCACTTCATGCTCTACTGATTTCCCTCTGTTTAAATTTTTTCCCCCTTCTCTGTGATGGATCCAAAATTACTCCTTTGTTCTTCCCAGAGAGCATCTTCCCCTTTCCCTCTCTTGCTCTCTCACTCATATTCTCCTTCCTCTATCTTATCCACAAGAACAACCCATTTCTCTTTTCCGTCAAGAGAGAAAACCCCATTTCTTGGCAAAAACCTATATTTCAATCAAAACACGCTACAATTAGTTAGCCCTAAGAAAACCCAGTTGCCCTTTAGGCCTATAACTGCCGTTGTTAAGAGAAGGAAGGAGATCCCCTTCGATAATGTAATTCAACGTGACAAGAAGCTGAAACTTGTTCTCAAGATTAGAAACATTCTTGTGAACCAACCTGATAGAATTATGAATCTTAGAGATTTGGGTAGGTTTCGCCGAGACCTTGGGCTCACCCGAAAACGCCGGTTTATTGCACTGCTGAAGAGATTCCCGGCTGTTTTTGATATTGTGGAGGAGGGGGTTTATTCTCTGAAATTTAGATTGACCCCCGAAGCTGAAAGGGTTTATCTGGAGGAACTGAGGGTTAGGAATGAGATGGAGCAGATGCTTGTTGTGAAACTGAGGAAACTGCTTATGATGTCATTGGAGAAGAGGATCCTTTTGGAGAAAATTGCCCATTTGAAGGCTGATCTTGGGCTTCCGACTGAGTTCAGGTCGACGATTTGTGAAAGGTACCCACAATATTTCAAGGTGGTGTCTACTGATCGAGGGCCTGCATTGGAGTTGACTCATTGGGATCCTGAGCTGGCCATCTCGGCAGCTGAGGTTGCCCAAGAAGAGAAGAGGGTTAGAGAAGCGGAAGAGAGGAATTTGATTATTGATAGGCCACCTAAGTTTAAAAGGGTGAAGCTTCCTAAAGGTTTGAATCTTTCCAAGGGGGAGATGAGAAGGATTAATATGTTTAACGAAATGCCATTTATATCTCCTTACTCTGATTTCTCAGAGTTGAAGCCGGGCACTCCACAGAAGGAAAAGCATGCTTGTGCTGTCGTTCATGAGATGTTGAGCCTCACTTTAGAGAAGAGGACATTGGTCGATCACCTCACTCATTTTAGGGAGGAGTTTCGGTTTTCACAGCAGTTGAGAGGGATGTTGATTAGGCATCCTGATATGTTCTATGTATCATTGAAGGGGGATAGGGACTCAGTTTTCCTTCGTGAAGCTTATCGTGATTCCCAATTGCTTGAGAAAGATAAGTTGTTGATACTTAAGGAGAAGATGCGGGCGCTTGTTGCAGTTCCAAGATTCCCAAGGAGGTTTCCACAAAAAACCAATGACGGCGAAGATGATGGGGAATTAGAGGAAGGGAGTGGAGAGGAGGATAGTGAGAATTGGTCTGATCTTGATAGTTTCTTGTCAGATGCTGATGAAGATGGTGATGGTAAATATGATGGTGAAAATGATTGGAGCGATGAAGGGGATGATGTACCTCCAGAGTTTGATGATGCCGACAGCTTAGCTTTGGAAGGAAGAAAACAGCTAACTCGAAATGCCTCGGAAAATGAAGAGGGCAAAGTTCTTTCTCCTGTATTCCCAGATGGAAGACCAAGAGAACGGTGGTAGTATTATCTATAGGTATTCTTTTTATACCATCTGAATAGTATGTTAACAAAAAGTTAGCTGGTTGCATGTCTGCAATAGTTATTCTTTTCCATTTCAGGATGCCACAAGGTCCCATCATGTTAGTTTCTCTTAATACATATGCTGTCAAGCTAAGTAAGTTCTTTGAGATTAAATTTTTACAATGATAAGTACTGTTGATATATTGCATGTATGAATAATTGAGCAACAGAAATTGATTCTAGGCTGTATCTTTTTCTTTAATGATTGTGTTGGATAAAGTGTTTATAGTGTACTTGGTACTACGCTGTTTAAATATTTTAAACAAATCTTCTATCCTATGTGTGTTGTATTCTCCTTATTTTCTTGGTGGTCTTTACAAGTCTAAGTGATGATATCTGTGAACTTACTATTGTCAAGTTGTTTGATTCTTGATAATTTGCTGGTTACTGCATACTGATAACGATTAACAGATTACTTAATTTGCCTATAAGTTATAGTCAAGGAATTACCAAGCAAGGTATCAAGAAATCCGTTTAAAGTTTGAAGATACTTCAGGCCTATTCAGTTTATATTTGAAAAGTTTATTTTTCTTATAATGCATGTTTAATGCCTCTTAAACTTAAATTTGGAAAATTGATTAGAGTGCTTGATCTCTTGTATGGATAAGTAAATTCATAGCTATTCCCCCCCCCCCCCACCTTTTTGATGGAGTACGGTTACGGGTATGATTATGGGACACGACAACTTTGTAAAAGGTAAGGTACAAGGAAATGACTATATAAATATTTATATGCACATATATTATATATTGAAATTAATAATTTACATGAGAGCAAGGATGAGAATCCTTTGACGGTTTTATTTGCCTTTTATGGGTTATTTCAATATTAGTCCCTCTAATCTTCAATATTTCCAAATTTGTCCCCCAAATCATGGAAGTTGCTATTAGAGCCCTCAAATCATCACATTGCTTATAATTAGGTCCCCCAGGTTAAAAAAAGTTAGATTTGGAGGGATATTCCTTTAATATCTAACTTCTAGTATTAATTTTTCCATTATACCCCTGAGTTTTAACCTTATGAAACTGTACTGATTTAGATTTCAACCATTTTAGGCCACTTTTGCTTGTTAAGAGCAGCAAAACACAGACCCATTTAAAATCTTCCTTCTCCAACGACTCTCTTCAGTAGGTCATCGATCAGTATCCCTTCAGTTTTAGCCCTAACTTTCTTCAAATCACTGGTTATCCTTTTCAAACGTATGAGATTATTGAAAAATTAACTAAAAGGGGAAATATGCAATTAGTTAGAGAAGGATTAGTTGGAAAATTTCATATTGTTTAGGAAAAAAATTTCCCCCTCATCTATCGTGATAAAATAGATAGGAAGGAATTAGGGTTTATGGGGGAAACTTTAATCTAAGGGCGAAATTATAATTAACCATGTGAAATTAATGCTTAACTGAATCCAAATTATACAAATAGACGTTAATTCAGACACATGGATCTAATTTAACAATGTGATGACTTGAGGGACCTAACAGCAGCTTTCATGATTTGAGGAACTAATTTGGAAATATTGAAGATTGGAGATACTAACATTTAAATAGACCTTTTATTATGTGGATCATAAACTGGAAACTCACTAGTTGTGGAACTAGACATACAAACGACCCTTCAAAAATAATTCGGAACCTAAACTATGTCCAATGAATTTGAAGAAGTGGGTGTGAAGTGTAGGTTATATAAACATGTATTATATAATTGAGTACATGCCCGAATAAATGTATGTATTTATGCAAGGAGTGTCCAAGGAGTTTTTGTATGGATACAGGTACGTCTCAAGTATGGGTACAGCTTCAGATTAGAAGTACCCAGGAAAAATAGCTCCTCACTATTTGTATATGCATTTATGATGTTCTCTTATCTAAGAGAGGGGAATATTTGTGAACGTGGAGGCCACCACGTGAATGAAGTGGTGCAAGCGACAAAGCAAAGGGCGTGCGCGTAATTAATAGGCCATGCCCACCCGATGATTCTCTCATGCTATAAATAATAGTGTGAGGTCTTTTTAGGTCGGTGTGCAAGGAGCAGAAGAAAAAAAACGGTGTGCAAAGAAAAAAGAAGGGCTTGGTTTTTGGAGAAAACGCAGCAGAGGAGAAGTTTGCAAAGTGCGGCGGCATATAGATGCAAGCAGGAAAAAGTGCAAGGGCAGAGGAAAAATTGCGACTGTCTGCTTCGTGCAAAGGGAAATCATAGGAGAAAAACGGCTGCCCTTTTGAACAACAAATTGCTTTTTTTGGCTGAAGCAAGAGGAGAGAATTTGTGAGAGTTTTGAGAAGATTGTTTGAGGGTTTATATTGTGAGATTGTAAACCCTAGTTGTATTCTCTCCCTCTAATAGTAGATCTCCCCCCTCCTTGCCCCGTAGACGTAGGTTATTTGCCAAACCGTGTAAAATAGTTTGTCTTCCTGTGATTTGTAATAGCTTGTAGGTTCCCTCGATAAGTCTGTCCTAAAACTGATGAGAGGAAGAGCTAATATCTCACTTTGTTGAGATATTTTGCTTTCGGTTCTTGTTTTCTTTGTGAAACGAGAATTTCGTTGTGATCTAATCTCTTGTTGTGCACACCGTGAATACATGTCCAAAGTTCCATATGCCAATGTTATGGGTAGCTTGATGTATTGGATGGGTGTACAAGGTCAGATTTGTCACAGGCCGTGAGCATGATATCTAGGTACATGCGCGACCCCGGAAAGGATCATTGGGAGGTCGTGAAGTGGATTCTACGGTATATTAAAGGTATCATGGATGTTGGTTTGGTGTTCGAGAAGAATGAGAAGAATGTGCATGATTGTATTGGTTACGTGGATTCTGATTATGCGGGAGATCTGGACAAGCGTCGGTCTACTAGTGGATATGTGTTTACACTAGCAGAAGCACCAGTGTGTTGGAGATGCACACTTCAGTCTACGGAGGCAGAGTATATGTCGTTGACTGAAGCTATGAAGGAGGCTTTGTGGTTGCGTGGATTGTTGGAGGACTTGGGGATTGCACAGGAAACCATTTAGGTACATTGTGATAGCATGTCGGCTATCTATTTGGCAAAGAACCATGTTTACCATGCACGCACGAAGCATATTGATGTCAGATTTTACTTTGTTCGCGACGTTTTGGATGACGGTGATGTCATATTGGAGACGATCCACACGAAGGACAACCCTGCATATATGTTGACCAAAGTTGTTTCAGGTGTGAAGTTTGGTCATTATTTGGAGTTTTTGAACATTCTTCGGTGTTGAGACTTTTGGAGGCCATTTGGGTGAACTAAGTTCGGCTTGATTCATTGGACAAGAGGATACGTAGGCAATCTTTACGATGCAGCCGGGTTGGATTAGTTGATGGGGGTGAGATTGTTTGGACTCTCATTCGGGTTCCCGACTTGTTGTGGATTGAGACCGTTGTCGTGAATTAACTTCACGGCGTACTGGACACAACAAGTGGCACATTTGGTTGCTTTGGTGTCAGCTCAGTTTTGAAAAAACTTCGCCGAGGTGGAGAATTGTGAACGTGGGGGCCACCACGTGAATGAAGCGGTGGAAGCAACAAAGCAAAGGGCGTGCGCATAATTAATAGGCCATGCCCACCCGATGATTCTCTCATGCTATAAATAATAGCGTGACGTCTTCTCAAGGTTTTAAATATCGGTTATCGGGAATTTATCGGACGGCCAAAATTCTTATCGGATAGCGGAAATCGGGGATATATCGGGGATAAGTAGTATTTATCGGAGTGATATACTAGATGGTGTATATATATAATATAATAACTAAAAAATGTACTCTAACCATGCTTAATGAAATATAAACATACCAAAATATAAATCATCATGTTTAGAATCACTAACCAATTGTAGAAAGCAAAACTTGCATCTTGACCGCACGATGAAACCATTCGATTGCATAGCCTTACTTATTGGCCGATAATCCCGATAAAAAACCTTATTTATCGGCCGATAAGTACCGATAACGCCGATAACTCCCCGATAACTTGCCAAAAACGATAACCGATTAAAAATCCAAGTTATCCTATCGGAGAGCTCCCAAATCCGATAACTCGGCCGATAATATCGATTATCGGCCGATATTTAAAACAGTGCGTCTTCTTAGGTCGACGTGCAAGGAGCAGAAGGAAAAAAAAACGGCGTGCAAAGAAAAGAAGGGCTTGGGTTTTGGAGAAAACGCAGCAGAGGAGAAGTTTGTAAAGTGCGGCAACATATAGATGCAAGCAGGAAAAAGTGCAAGTGCAGAGGAAAAATTGCGGCTGTCTGCTTCGTGCAAAGGGAAATCATAGGAGAAAAGCGGCTGTTCTTTTGAACAGCAGATTGCTTTTTTCGGCTGAAGCAAGAGGAGAGAATTTGTGAGAGTTTTGAGAAGATTGTTTGAGGATTTAGATTGTGAGATTGTAAACCCTAGTTGTATTCTCTCCCTCTAATAGTAGATCTCTTCCCTCCTTGCCCCGTGGACGTAGGCTATTTGCCGAACCACGTAAAATAGTTTGTCTTGCTGTGATTTGTAGCATGAGAGGAAGAGCTGATGTCTCACTTTGTTGAGATATTTTGCTTTCGGTTCTTATTTCCTTTGTGAAACGGGAATTTCGTTGTGATCTAATCTCTTGTTGTGCATCTTGCGCACCGAAGGTGCTACCGAAATTTCTGCTGCGCACAACAATATTAGTCTAAAGAGTTAAATGGGCTTTTTCCTAGGTTGGTCGAAGTTTCAGAGCGATGCACTATGATGCAATATCTCTGACTCTAGCCATCATTGAGCATCTTTACATGGACAGGGGATACAAGTATCAAGTGTTTAGTCAAAATAACCTTTGATGTTTCTGTACTATCTAGTTTAAATATCGTCCATATTAAAGCTTAAATGTTGTCACAGAATTGCGATAAGTGTCTTAACCTTTGATGTTTTTGAACACAATCTAGTTTTGATATCTTCCGTATGAAAGCTCTAACATTGTCAAGGAATTGTGATATTGTCAAAGCATCTAATATTTGCTGTTTTTTGTAGACATTCTAGTTTTATCGACTTACTCATGTAAGCTATATATTCACAAAGGAATTGAGGAAATATATGCAAAAGTTTGAAACACAGAAAGCATTGATAGAAAGTCTTGGTGCATGCTTAGGTCATCGCCACCCTCTAATTTGCTCTTTTTCCATCTCTGCTCCATTGTCT